TGGGTGAAACCTCTCCCTCCTTCTCTGCCCTGCTAAAGGATTACAGAAGGTCATGGACAAAATTCTCTCAGGATGTTTATTGTGGATTGACTGTAATCTGCACCACTGGAAGACGTACCCACAGATCCTTGGAAGTATAAAAATATCAAATTAGTTTAGTGCTACTTTTTCCTCTCCCCTGCCAACTTTGACTAGGATTTGAGTTTGCATCTAATGAGTTATGTACATCTTTTGCCTGAAGCCAAATATCACTCTATATATTTGAACAAAACCAGAGGCAAAGGGACAGCTCAAAAGCTTTTCCAGTATTATTAACTAATTAACAGGCAGAGAAGTGGTTGAAAAGGAAAAATTGTTACAAAGTATTTGTTCTCCCTCTTTGAACTCTCCTAATTGATGGAGAGGCTTTTATTTAATTGTGGAGCCAAATCACTTTATGTAACATTACTAAAGATTCAGTTGAAAGAAATGCATTTCCTTTTGTAGCATGAGGTCAGTGTTCATCTGAAAGAGCAGGTACCGAGGCTTGGGTGGATTCAGAATTACTGGTAAAAGCAGAGGCTCTTTAAAAAGCATGTCAGAGCTGAGTTTCATCTCACTTGAAAATCTATGAAATTTGCAGCATTATAGAAGTTTTGAACTATCCATCTTTCAGGGCCCTCTTCCATATAGTCTTCTTGACTTTCCAGTGAGTAGTGTGCTCTCTCTCTACCCTCCCTACTTCCCTCTCTTTTTCTCTCTCCCCTTCTCCTCTTCTCTCTCTCTCCTTTGTGTCTTTTTGTCTGTCTCTGTCTGTCTTTTTCTCTTTGCTTTTCTGTCTCTCTCTGTTTCTCTTTCTCTTGACTGGCTTTTCTCGTCTTGCCCAAATTGAAACTATAATAACTAACCACGAATGCAATCTCATTGCAACTCAGCCCAGGAACTGAGTAGTCCTCTGTTTCTGACCTGAGCTGGTTCACCCTTCCTTAGACACACTGATACCTCCCCCACACCTGCTTCCAGGGTCTTATTGGTGCCAGACTCTGTACAGACACCTGCTCTGCTTAGCCCACTGTATCTCAGAACTCCTGAGCTCAAGAAGTTCACCAGCTTCAGCCTCTCTGGTAGCAAGGATCACAGGTGTGTATCCCCATACCTGAGCATCAATGGTCTTGAGCTATTTTCTTTGAATGTCTCTTTTGCACATTCATAATCAGTTTTATATTTACTTGTGTAGAAGTCTCATGCTTTCTATTAGACTGCAAGGTCCTTGAGGGCAAGTTCTGAGCCCTTAAAAAACAACTTTGTTTCTCCCTCAGTACAGATTGGTACTCCTATGGAATAGACCTTTTATAAGTATTTGTTGAATGGAACTGAACTGAGCCTGCAAAGCTTGTCTTTGTCTCTTACAGGCATATCACATTTTTCTGATGAGTTTTTCTCAGCTGCAGAAGTTATAGATGTTCACTTAGAAAATTCAGCAATAATCAGAGGATTGATTTTCCCATATGCTTTTGTTATGACTTCTCATGAAAATTTCCAGACAAGATCCAGGATGATGAGTATATTTTTAGTCACTGGTGTGTATCTATCTAGTTGCACTTGAGAAACCATCTGGTGTCAGCAGCACAAGGTGAGAGCCAGCTCAGATGCCTAGCCAAAAAGTAGAGAGAGTAGTTATGTGATTATCATCTGGTAACAATGATGTTCAGGATAAGGATTGGAACTATGGTTTCATTGATAGAAGGAAAGAACTTCCTGGTGAGGAAAAGTCTTTTCTCCAATGCAAATTGGCACCTTCTCTATAACTTACAGTCTTTTGGGGGGGGGGCTAGGGAGTGGGGTTAAGTGACTTGCCTAGGGTCACACAGCTGCTAAGTGTAATGTGTGTGAGGCTGGATTTGAACTCAAGTCCTCCTGAATCCAAGGCTGGTGCTCCATCCACTGTGCTACCTAGCTGCCCCCAATAACTTACAGTCTTAAGAGTGTTGTACACATCCCTAAGAGGTTAAATAAATCCAAGGTCACAGAGCCAGTATATGTCAGAGACTGGTATTGAGCCCAGGGCTTCCTATCTTTTTCTATCCTTTTGCCATGCTGCTTCTCAATGATGATGACAACAATAACAATACCATAGTTCACATTTATAGCACTTTAAAGGTTTAGAAAAAAGCTCTTTTCCAGTTTTCAGATGAAAAAATTAAAGCTATCTATAGCCATATGAAAAAATGCTCTAAATTACTATTGATTAGAGAATTACAAATTAAAACAACTGTGAGGTGCCACCCCACACCTATCAGATTGGCTAATATGACAAAATGGGAAAATGATAAATGTTGGAGAAGATATGGGAAAATTGGAATACTGATGCATTGTTGGTGGAGTTGTGAACTGATCCAATGCTCTGGAGAGCAATTTGGAACTATGCCCAAAGGGCTATAAAACTACATGAACCCTTTGCTCCAGCAATACCACTACTAGTCTGTATCCCAAAGAGATCACAAAAATGGGAAAAGGACCACATGTACCAAAATATTTATAGCAGGTCTTTTTGTGGTGGCAAGGAATTGGAAAGTGAGGGGATGCCCATCAACTGAAGAATGGTTAATCGAGTTGTAGTGCATGAATGCAATGGAATACTATATTCTATAAGAAATATGAGCAGGCAGATTTCAGAAAAACCTGGAAAGACTTGTATGGACCGATGCTGAGTGAAGTGAGCAGAACCAGGAGAACGTTGTACACAGTAACAGCCACATTGTACAATGATTAATATTGATAGACTTAGCTATTATCATCAATGCAATGATCTAAGTCACTTCCAAAAGACTCATAATGGAAAATGTTATCCACATCAAGAGAAAGAGCTATGGAGTCTGGATACAGATTGAGGCATACTATTTGCTCTTTCCCATGGTTTTCCTCTTTTGTTCTGAATCTTCTTTTACAGCATGACTAATGTGGAAATATGTTTAAGATGATTGTACATGTATAGCCTATATCAGATTGCATGCCATCTTGGGAAGGGAGGAGAGGAGGGAGGGGGGAAATTTTACAACTCAAAATCTTATAAAAGTGAGTATTGAAAACTAAAATAAAATAAATAAATGGATTAAAAAAAGAAAAAAGGAAAAGAAAAAGCTCTTTTCCTCACAACAAACCTGAAAAGCAGAAAGCGAAAGAAGCTGGTGGTGTAGTAGATAGCACACTGGATCTGGAATCAGAAGGGTCTTAGTTCAAATCCAGCCTCAGACACTTAATCGCTATGGGACCTTGGACAAATTACTTAACCTCTGTTTGCCTCAGTTTCCTTGTCTTACTTTAAAATGAGGGTGATAACAATAGCTCCTACTTCCTAGGGTTGTTGAGAGGATAAAATGAGATGATCATTGTAAAAAGTGCTTAGCACAATGCCTGGTGCGTAGTCAGTGCTATGTAAATACTTATTCCCTTTGCCTTCCCTAAAAGCATTATGACCCCCATTTTACAGGTGGAGAAACTGCAGCTCACAGAACAGAGAGACTTGTTGAAGGTTATACAGCTTTAAGTTAAGCAGTAAATCTGGGACTTGAACCTAAATAGTCCTGTAATTCACATACAAAAGCAAGACACATTGTGCTCTTAAAAAAGCACAGGCCACAAAAGCAATTGTGGCTCACTATCAGTGGGCCAGTGGACACGGTGCTGGGCTTGGAATTTTTTTTTGTTTAGGATAGGCAATGGGGTTCAGTGACTTGCCCAGGGTCACACAGCTATCAAGTGTTATGTGTATGAGGCCGGATTTAAACTCAGGTCCTCCTGAATCCAAGGCCAGTACTCTCTCCACTGTGCCACCTAGCTGCCCCTGGGCTTGGAATCTTGAAGATCTGAGTTCGAGTCCTATCTCAGTCACATACTTGGCTGTGTGACCCTGGGCAAGTTGCTTAATCTCTGCCTCACTTTCCTCACCTATAAAATGGGGATAATATTAGCACCAACTTCCCTGGGTTGTTGTGAGAGCCAAATGAGATAAAAGGCATAAAGTGCGTTACACACCTTACAATTAATTATAAATATAGTAGTTATCATCATTATTAACACGCACAGCAGATTGGTGGCCAGAGGTGATCCGTCAGGTGTGGTGTGGCATGCACCTGACCAACGAGCTTTTTGTGCTGTGGGATCCACCTGCCCAGGGCAACGTAGCTAGTAGGAGCTGAGGTGGGATTTGAGTCTAGGTTGTCCTGAGTCCAGCGCTATCTATCCGCAACGACATGCTGCCTTCGCGCCTCTGGGAGAGGTATCCTTCATTTTACAGAATACGTGTTTATCCACAAAACAGGCCCACCTCTTTATTTCTGTAACAGCGAGGTGGAGTAGCAGATAGAGTGCCAGGTCTGGAATGAGGAAGGCTTGAGTTTAAATCTGGCCTCACCTACTTCTGAGCTGTGTGACCCTGGGCAAATCACTTAACCTCTGTTTGCCTCAGTTTCCTCATCTGTAAAATGAGGATGATAATAGTCGTACCTACCTCCCAGGGTTGGTGCGAGGATCAAATTGTAAAGCGTTTAGCAAAGTACCTGCCCTGGCACATAGTATGTGCTATTTAAATCTTAGCTATTGTTATTAATATTATTATTATCTTTCATTATTAAATTAGAAACACATTCACACAGTAGGAAAAAAATCCTCTCCTTCAAAATAAATTGAAACCATTTACCAAAGACGCATTTAAGATAGTGGCCAGTCCCATTGCATGTTGGTATTATAGTTTTTGGAAATTTTTTGTGTATTCGGCCTACCTTCTTTAGCATGAATCCCTTCTTCTCCACAGAGAGAAAGGTCAGAGTCATTATTATTTTTTCAGTATTCTACCTTCCCTCCAAAAAAACTCAAAGCTTTATTCTGAGAACTTTGAAATTGTAACACAGCTCTAAAGTCATAAGAAGGAAAGAGGGAAGGGACAGAATTAGAAAAGAAGTAAGGGAAAGAATATGGAATAGACCATAATTAATTCATGTCCCTGTCAAATTGCAGAGAATCTGGGTCTCTGGGCCCGCCTGCTTTTTCTCGGAACTGGCTTCTTGAATTCTCGTGTACGCCCTGTGACCTGATCATCTTGAAAGTATTCCTCTTGGTGGGAACTTTTTGTTTTCGCTACTGTAATGGTCAGAATTTATATTACTAAAACTACTTTTAAAATGGTTTTGCATTCTTGTTGCTCTTAGAGCTAAATGGTACAACAGATAAAGCACTGGGCCTAGAGTTAGAAAGATCTGAGTTAAAAATCCGACCTCTGACACTTACGAGCTACATAATTCTGTATGTCACTTAACCTGTCTCAATTTCCTCAGCTGTAACGTGGAGATCATAATAGCACCTACCTGATAGGGTTTCTGTGAGGAATATGAAGTAATATTTGTCAAATGCTTAGTGCCTGGAACATAGTAGGTACTATATAAATCCTAGCTATTATTATTATAATTATTATAAATATCACTATCATAATTATCATTATTATGATCAAATGAGAGAATGTTTGTAAAGTGGTTTATAGAATACCAAGCACATAGTAAGTGCTTTATAAATTCTATCTATTATTATTATTATTATTATTATTATTATTATTATCATTATCAGGATCAAATAAGAGAATATTTGTAAAACACTTAGAAGAGCGCCTGGAATATAATAGGCACTGTATAAACGCTAATTGTTATTATTATTAATGGTAGTATCAGATGGGAGAATATTTGTAAAGTGCTTAGGATAGTACCGGGCACATAGCAGATGCTATATAAATGCTAGCTATTATCATTATGATGGGACAGCTAGGGGGTGCAGCGGATAGAGCACTGGGCCTGAAGTCAAGAAGACTCACCTTCCTGAGTTCAAATCTGGCCTCAGATACTTACCAGCTGTGTGGCCCTGGCAAGGCACTTCACCTTGTTTGCCTCAGTTTCCTCATCTGTAAAATAAGCTGGAGAAATAAAAGGCAAACCGCTCCAGTATCTTTGCCAAAAAAACCCCCAAATGGAGTCATAAAGAGTCAGACACAACTAAACAACAGCAGTCATTATTATTATTATTATTATTATTATTAGGATCAAATGACAAAATATTTGTGAAGTGCTTAGAATGGTGCCTGACACCTAGCAGGCCCTATATAAATGCTGCTTATTGTTTTTATTAGGATCGAATGAGAGAGTATTTGTAGAATGCTTCGCACGGTATCTGGAACATAGTAGGTACTTCAATAAATATGTATTCCATTTCCCCTCCTTCCCTCCTTTTTGGATTAGGGTTGGTTCCCATTGCTTAGCATAGTGCCTAGCACTTAGGAGATGGTCAGTAAATACTTCTTGACTTGACTTGCCCTCCTGTCCAAAGTACCATAATAATTTCTCAACAGAAATGATTTCAGAGACTTTGGCAATTGGGTTTTAGATGCTTGCCAGCTTAACCAGCTGAGCATCAGCCAGTCACCTATGAACACTGTGGTTTTCTCTTATCTTCTTAAACTGTGGGAAGGGGATTTGGGTTACCTGCAGAGTAGATGATCTACAGCAGACAAGTTGACCTCCACTGCTGTTTTTCAGCCCAGCAGACCTCTCCTCGCTATGCTGCCAGTCACCACAGCAGAGATGGAACCAAATGGCAGCTTCAAGGGTACCAGGGAGAACTGTACAGTGGATGACTTCAAGAGAAATTTTTATCCCGGAGTCTACCTGGTCGTATTTGTTGTGGGGGCCTTGGGAAATGGCTTTTCCATATTCATTTTCTTGCAATCTACTAAAAAGTCCAAATCGGTGAATGTATTCATGCTGAACTTGGCCATTTCAGACCTGCTGTTTGTGTGCACGCTACCCTTCAGAGCTGACTATTACCTTCGAGGCTCTCATTGGGTGTTTGGAGATGCAGCCTGCAGGATCATGTCCTATTCCTTCTACGTCAACATGTACATCAGCGTCTACTTCCTGACTGCGTTGAGCGTCGTGCGTTTCCTGGCTACTGTGTGTCCCTTCAGGCTCCTGCATGTGACCAGCCTCAAGACCGCCTGGGGCCTGTGTGGGGCCATCTGGGTCTTCATTATGGCCTCCTCCGCTCTGCTCCTGAGCAGTGGAACAACCAACAATGAAAAGCGGGCCACCTGTTTGGAATTAAACTCCGGCAAGATCACCAGGCTGAGGATCCTGAACCACATGGTGATGGTAGTGGGCTTTGTGCTGCCCTTCTTCACTTTGGCCATCTGCTATCTGCTGATCATCAAGACCTTGCTCAAGGGTCAAGGTTCCAAAGTCTGGAGCCCGCATCTCTCACAAGAAGGCACTGGTCACCATTACAGTCTCCTTGATTCTCTTCGTGCTGTGTTTCCTGCCCTATCACGTACTGAGGACACTCTACCTGTCACAGTGGAGGGAGGGCAAGTGTAATGAACAGCTGCACAAGGCTATCGTCATCACCATGGCCTTGGCTGCATCGAACAGTTGCCTTGACCCTTTGCTCTACTATTTTGCTGGAGAAAATTTTAAACAGAGACTAAAAGCAGTATTCAAAAGGGGAAAGAAAGAAATGCGCCGGTCCTATTTGTACATGGCTAAACAAAGAATGCATGAGTAAGAGATTTTTATTTTTTAGAGAATATTTTTCCTATGCTTGTCATTATTTGTACACATTTCCCATACTACCTTGCATTTATGACACTGACAACACAAAACCATGCACGTTGACTGTGATTTGGTTTTTGTAGCATTTAAAAACATGTCCTTAAGGAACATTCTAAGTGGTCAACTCTGAAAGACTGATTTGGCAGAAATAATTTGGGTGAAAGATATTTTTACCTGGGGTAAAAATGGTTGGTTAAGGCTAAGTTTGTTTTTTTCTTTACCATTTGATAAAAAGGAAAGTTCATTGGAGAGGGAATGGGGAGTGGAGGGTATATCCAGAAATAACTGCAACGTGAAAAAAAAAACCCCAAAACCAACAAATGCTTTTAAAAAGAAAACAGTTGTAGGATGAATGGGATGCAACACTGGTGTGGATGGCATTGTGGGTGCAGTCATGCCAGCAGAGGTGGTTTCAGCCCTCTTGACCACAGGGGTTAGGAAAGAAGGGGGAGCCCTTGGAGAATGGCACCACAGGAATGGGACTCTGAAGGTCATGGCCCCAAGATAACCTGCAGAGGATTGTTAGGTGAAATGTAAGGAGAGAAGTGGGTCCACCTCATAAAACGGGGAGGAGGGTTACCAACTTTTGGATATTGGTGCCCTGGGACAAAGCCTTATAGAGAGTTGTACTTAAAGTCAGGAAGAACTGAATTCTAATCTTGTCTTGGACTTTTACTAGCTGTGTGATCCTGGGCAACAATCTTAACCTCTGTCAGCCTCAGTTTCTCCATCTGTAAAATGGGGGATAATAATAGCACCTCATGGTCTGTTTTGAGGACCAAGCTAAGAAGTTAACAAACATTTATTAAATGCTAACAATTAGAAGTAGGTAGCAGGTTCCTAGGCAGCTAGATGCTACAGTGGATAGAGCTCTGGGCCTGGGGTCAGGAAGACCTGAGTTCAAATCTGGCCTTAGACACTTACTAGCCATGTGACCCTGGGCAAGTCACTTAACTTTGTTTGCTTCAGTTTCCTCATCTGTAAAATGAGGTGGAGAAGGAAATGGCAAATCCCTCCAGTACCTTTGCCAAAAAAAACCCCAAATGGGGTCACAAAGAGTTGGATATGACTGAATGACAACACTAAGAGCTTACTATGTTCCAAGTACTGTGCTAAGATCAGGATCAAATGAGATAATATATGTAAAGTGCTTTGCAAATCTTACAATGCTATCTAAATGTCAACTATTATTAATTATTATTACTCACTGCACTGGTTATGGCTCTGTTATATGCTTATACATACACATATACACTTGCTATAGGACTATTTGTATGTCAATATCTGGCCACTGTGACAAATAGGTCAATCAGACCTATCAAATTTCAAAGAGACTCTTAGAGCCATTTAAAATTGCTGGGATTGCTTAGATTCTTAAAATCTAGTCACTGCTCAGTTTTTACAATCTAGCCAATAGCCCATAGATGCTCAGATTCCTTAAGAGTCTGGCCAATATGGCGGATCTTCAATAAACCTTATTTTTGGTTGAAAAAAAAATAAAATCACCAGGATTGTTGACTATACTTTATGGTGTCATGGAAAGAACACTGCATTTGGAAAAGGGAGACTCGGGTTTGAATCTTAGTCCTGCCCTAGCTGTGGGAACTTAGAGGAAGCCAGTGGGATGGACCTTAAAGGGAGACCTGAACTCAAATTCTTTCTAGTACTTGCTAGTGATGTGACCAGGGATAAGTGACATGACCCTTTTGAATTTTAGATTCTTCACCTGTGAGACAGCAATGAAAAAGCCTCTAGTAGCTACCTCATGGGGTTTTTGTGAGGCTCAAATGAGTCTTGTATATAAAGAGCTATGCAGACCTTAAAAATGCCATATAATATCAGCTATTGTTATCAATTGACCACTTTGAGTCTCACTTTCCTGCTCTGTTGGAAAGGGATAATGCTTTGGTGCCTTCAAGCTCAGGGATTCTTCAATCCTATTCTTTACAGCAGGCCCTACAGAAAGGCTTTCGGACAAATGGAGTAAATGAATCCTTCCCATGTAGAAACTAACTGTGGCTGTCTTTGTCTGCCTTCATCGTGATTCAAAGCCAAGTTCTCATACTTCAGAAGACCTCTTTCAAAGGGGGCATTTCAGCTGGTTTGAGTGTTCCTAAGAGTCTGTACTTTGAGGAAGCACTGGTTTGTCTGTTAACAGATAAGTGTTACTATCAAGGGGGATTTCTCATGAGTTATGCCAGATACAAACTTGACATTTTCAGAGAAATGTCCATATGTAAATGGACAGAAGACTCAGCTTAAATGTGAATGGCTACTTGCATTAAAATCACAGTTTTAGTTTTGTTTAAATTTTATTAGGAAAGGGCACTAGACAGAGGACTTTTAAGCCCCTTCTTTGGGGTTAACTAGCTGTGTAAGTTACTTAACCTCTCTGTAGGCCTTAATTTCCTCATATGTAAAATAAGGTCCTTCCCAGCTCTAAAGTTCTATATTCATTAAATTATGATATTCAATAAAAAACTTTCTCAATTCAATTTAATTAGGCTTGCCTGGTACAGTAGGAGTAACAGACAGCTAGCTGTATGATACAGTGGATAGAGCTCTGGACTTGAAGTCAGGAAGTCCTCAGTTCAAATTTAGACTTAGGTACTTACTAGCTGTGTGACTTTGGATGAGTCACTTAACCTGTATCTGCAAAATCTATTCTGTAAAATAAGGATAACAATAGCACCTATCTCTCAGGTAGGTGAGGATAAAATGAGGCAATATTTGTGAAGAGTTTATGAATTGTAAAATGCTAGTTATTATTATGCTAGTTATATAATTGCTAATTATTATTATGGCATACTGGATTTGGAGTCAGAGGGCCAGGTTCAAATCCTGCCTGTGTCAAGTACTAGCTAAGTGACCCTCAAAACTCATTCTGCCTTTTTGGGCTTTCATTTCCTCAGGCCACTTTCTTGTGAGGAAGTATGGTGCAGTGGAAAGTGTGCTGGTTTGGAGTTAGATGACATGGGTTCAAATCCAGGCTCTGCCACTTACTATCACTATCACCTTGGACCAGTCACTTTCTCTAGTCCTTAGTTTCCTCATTTGTAAAATGAAGGGATTGGACTCAATGATATCTAAGGTCCTTTCCCTCTCTCCATCCTATTTAACATATTTAACATCAGAAACATGGTAATCACAAATATATTTCCCTAATGTTTCCTCTTTTCTCCCTACCTCACCATTCAAAGGACTCAAAACCAATTGTGATTCTTCTGGCAAAAGAAAAAAAAAAGCACACCTTTTATTCAAAGTCTTCTTTAGCAACTTCCAATTAGCAAAATGACAAAAATGCCAAATACCCATATGCTAAATTTTGGTTACAAGTTTGAAAATGTTTGGAAGGGTTTCCAAAATTAGACACACAGTTGAATCTTTAACACCACCACAGAGAAAACCGAGCGCTAGTTATCGTCTGAGCTAGGTTCTGCAATGGTCCATTTTGCAAGTTCTTTGGCACTATCTTGCTAGTTTCAGCACGATCAGGGGTTTATTTCTATTGTAGCCATCACTTGCTGTTAAAGAGATGTCACTGTATTGGTGACAGAAAGAGGAGCAAAGATGTGCAAGGAATAGCACTTGGACCTCCCATACTCAGACGCCCTGGTTGAATAAACCACTGGGTGTTTCCACCAGGTATTTAAGGAAGGGCTGGAATAGTGATAAACTGCTGCTGTTATCTCAACTGGCCAATGCTTCTGTATCACTTGGGTGACTTTTCATGTGACTGTAAAAAGAGAGTGTGCTCAGAGTAATTTCCTGTTCATCTGCTCACCACAGTCAAGGCAGTCATGGAGCCTGGGCTCCTTTCCCTAATATTTCTAAGCTAGAATATGCATTTTCACAACATATTCAATCTTGTAATGAAGGGGTTGTCTGTGTGTGTGTGTGTGTATGTGTGTGTGTGTGTGTGTGTGTGTGTGTGTGTGTGTGTGTGGTGTGTGTGTATGCATGTCAATCAATTGATCGGTCAATAAACACTCATTAAATGTTTATTATGTGCCAGGCCAGGCACTGTGCTAAGAGCTGGGGATACCAAAAGAGGCAAAAGGGGGCAGCTAGGTGGCACAGTAGATAGAGCACCGGCCCTGGATTCAGGAGGACCTGAGATCAAATCTGGCCTCAGGCACATAACACTTACTAGCTATGTGACCCTGGGCCAGTCACTTAACCCCATTGCCTAACCAAAACCAAAACCAAAAACAAAAAAAGAGGCAAAAGACAATCCCTGCCCTCAAGGAGTTCACAATCTAATGGTGAATGTGAGAAAGTCCTGTCACTTGGAGCTTCTGAAGACTCTAGGAAATTTTTTGAGTTCCTTGTGTATAATACAGTATACATGCTATATTTATTTTAAATAAATAAAGACTTTTAGTTTAAATCCATGTTATTTTTATTATTGAATTTTGCTGTAATGTTCCAACATCAGAAAATATTGTGAAGGTTATAGAATTGGCTTAACACCTGCTCTGTCTTGTTTTTAAACTATGAGTCTCAATTGGTATCCATTCCTGCCTTTCTCTACTGGCTATGGTAGTGTTAGATTCATTCCTTTTGTCAGCCCATGCTGACTCAACATGCCATAGCCTCCCAAGCAAAGGAGATACTGCCCTTCCCATCTGCATCATGGCAACAGGTCTTGACATTCCACCAAGACCCAGCATAGAGACAAGGAGGAGTTCTCAGTGGCTCTGCTGAAAACTTGATCTAAATTTTTTTTCATTTTTTTTAGCTAATCTGGGGCACGAGGAAGATCAAAGAAGGTATACTATTAATGCCAATAGGGGATGGGATAATGATAACTGATGATGGAGGGGAAACAGATCTGCTAAATTCTTGTTTTGTTTCTGAATTCCTTGCCAAGGAGAATTAGATGGTTAATAAGTAGATGAAATCCCCCCAAAAGTGAAGAGATGGCAAGAAAACTCATATCTGTCCACAATGAGTTCAAGTCACCAAGCTTCTACATTCCAGAATACTGGAAGGATTGGCAAGTGTGATGATTAAGCCACCAAAAAGTCTTGGAGAAGGGGAAAGAGAGGCATTACATGACTACAGTCCAGCCAATGCCATGCTGATTTTTCTTGAGCAATGCACCTACCTCAAATGACTTGAGAAAAGTAGGTCTGAGATGCCTTCATATAAAGCTAGCATAGCAGCAGCAGCTTGATTCCAGAGGCACTGGGGGAAGGTGTTGCTCCTTGCCAAGATGAAGACCCTTCTGGGCAGAAAAGATATGACCGAGATTCATTCTTCCCTGAGGAAGGCGATTCAAGAGGCCTTGCATATGCCTCTCCCTAAATTAAGGCCTCCACCTTGGGTGGAAGGAAAAAGAAAGAGTAGAGGGAATAACCTAGTTTCTCTCAGGAGTACTGAGGCCTTGGATGGAAGTAAGGAGAGGGGCAGGCAGGGACAGGGGTGGGGAGAGGACAATTCAGAAGACTCAGACAGTGCTGAGCTGAGGCTCTCAAAGAGGCCCTAACAGACTTTTTTCACTCAAACTTATTGGCCCAGTAGAAAGCTATGGACTTTTTTAACTCCTTAAAGCAAAAAATGAGGAACTTTTGTAAGTGCCAGTCAGTTACCTCTCTTCCTATCCCAGAATAAATAGAGAGGCAAGGTTGCCCCCCTACTCTAGAAAAGAGAGGGAAAGATCAGGCCTGAAAACAGGTAGGGGTACTGAAGAGCTAGGAGGCATCAGGGAATTGCCAAAGGGCCTTGTGCAGTATGGGAGAGGGACTTCTTAGGCTTCTATCAGAAACAACTGACTTGGGGAGCATTTGGTTAAGCTGGCACTGCTGCTGAGATATTTAAAGGGTGCTGGAGAGCAGTAAAGGGGCTGCTGATTTAATGGTATGTGGAAACCAGCCTCTAGTTGGGTATGAAAGAATATGCTTTTGAGGAAGAGCATCTG